TGGTTTCTTACCTTCCCCAACCGCTGGATCTCTTGAATTTCCCCCGTTTCTTACTGCGCAGCACACTTCACCACTCTGCAGGCATCTGTGTGGCCGCTTCCTGCCTGGGAGGCATCTCAATCGCCTCTTTCCAACTGTTCGGGACAACATTGTGCAAAATTGTGGAATTTGTCATTTGTAGACTCTGTCCTCTGCTTTAGTTACCACAATATTCCTAGGGCAGATCACTCGGCGGCCTACCCAGTAAGCACTCACACATGACAACTGATCCAGTTTTTTCAATAACTTTTAAAGATGCATCTACACTTTGAATGCTGCTCTACATGTGTGCAGATGTAAATGAACTAAACCAGAAAGTCCTTCTTTTAGACATCTAGGACTCTACAGAGTGAGGCAGGGAACATAATAAAGATGAAAAAGAGCTACTCTGTGGGACCCTGAATATCCTGGGGAAGCAAACAACGGCAGGTTGGGAGATGAGATCTGTGGGCAGAGGAGCGTATCTTAAGCCAGTGAGAATGCTGCCCATAAGGGCAAGCTCTCTAGGACTCTTAGGAAGCCAGCTAAGGTGTAGAAACTTAGAGGTGTTTGAGTTTGGTGGGGGACAGGATTTGTAATCACTGACCAGAACATGGTATTAAGGTCTAGCTATGATGGAATAATGGGAGGTCTGTGTTGCTTTGGATGAAAATGTTGAATTTGTTTCCATAGATAAATATCAGATCAAACTGAGGTAAAGAGTGTTTGCTGCCACATCCACAAGCTCTTGATGCTCAGTGGGAAACACCAGGTGCTTATTACTCCATCATGAGGTGTCTCATCAGGAAAAGAGATAGAGTTTGTGCCACAGACCTTCAAGAAGAATGTCTCTTTCTACTTTGTAGCTTGAATGTCCTTGGGTCCCAGACATCACAGGCTAGAAGACACATGGTGGTGGATTCTCCTCTGTGAAGGAGAATCAGGCCTGGCAGTGATACACATCATTCTACCCACTTTGTTTGGCCTTCATTCACCCCCAGCTACAATAAGGGAAACGGAGATACAATCTAGTCACCTGCCCATCTGAAAAATAAACAAGGTTCCATGGGGACCCTGCAAGCATCATGGCTGCCGGGAACATAATCCTCTAGAGGCGAAGAATGAAACTCAGGTCAGCACCACCTTAGCAGGTGCTGGGACAAAAAACTTCCAGAGTCTGACCTCAGGGTTTATTTTTCTTACACATTTCAGCACAATAAAACTTTGGACAAAAGGTTTCCTCATGACAACTATTACATCAAAGCTCTAGGCATAGCTACATAGAAACCCCCTAGCAAAGTAGCCAAGCACCGGAGACCTTTACGATAGGAAGGAGTTCTGTTAACTGATGAACAATGGTCAGGGCAAGGGCCTGAGGAGGATCTGTAATAAGCATACGGATAGATTCTGTTGATGGAGGATGCGAAGTACATGGGGCCACCTTCAGAAGGATGGGTTCTATTCACTGAGTCACAAAGCTCAGGGAAAGGGCTTAAACAATGCTCAGGATATCGGGGGATTCAGGAAGGCTGGCTCCATAGAATAGCAAAAAGATCTCCAGGTTGCCAGACAACATCCACTCCAGCCTTCCGGGTGACCAAGCGTCAGTCATTTTCCTCCTTTGGAGAAAATAGGCCCGAGTGTTTTACAAGTTTGGTTCCTCCAAGGCCTTCTGTGCCTCCTACATTCACCCCTCCGGTATTCAAAAGGACCCCACAACGGCTTCTCAGTTAACAGTGACTCCTATGGCTTAGGTGTAGCCACAGTCTTACAGTGACTCAAGGAAGGAGGCTTTCGCCCTCCTAACCTGCCCTGTTGGATCACTGCTAAGGAACTCTCTCCAGAGACTGTCTTGTGTGCAAAGGACAAAGTCCCTCGTGGGACTTCTACCTCTGCTCAGAAGACACAGCGCGGATGATGGTTAATCTAATTCCAATTGGACAGAATGCCAGAACGGCCTAGATTCTGGGGAACAAGAAGGGGTAGAGCAGAGAAAGGGGGGTTATGCACGGCCGAAAATATAAAAACCAGGAACACTGATTCAAATGTTTGCTATAATTGGTAGTTAAATGTAGCATAGTACTTACTGTGTGCCAGGTGCTGTTCTAAGAGTTTTACTAAATTAATCCTCAGACAATACAATGTCAGCTGGAGGAATGCTCGAGGGATTAAGCCAGTAAAGAAGACAAGTACAGACTGATTCATTCTGTCTTTGTTCTATTCTGAATGCACGTCATTACACTCCTGCTATTATTTGTACTGCTCTGGCTGCCCTGGTGTGATTTAAAGGAGGTATAAGGATGAGTGTGAACACTTGGACGGGGAGCTGGGGTTCTTTCCAGCACAGTCCTTGTTGCTACCTTTCTTGTTGTTTATATTTATTTATTTTGTCTGTGTGCATTTGCCGGTCATGTTGTGTGTATGCCCATGTGTGTGCACAGATGTGCATGCCTGGGCACGCATGCTGAGAGAGGAAAGGCTTGGGTGTCCTCTTCTCGAACTCTCTGCTTATTCCTTTGAGGCAGAGTCTGTCGCTAAAGAGAGAGAATCCCTGCTCCACTCCCTCTATTGACACCAGGCTCTTCCTGACAGGGGCTTGTTAGACACCACCGAAGAACAGCTTTGACCACTTTTTTCTTTCTCTCTCTTTTTTTTTTTGTTTTGTTAATGCCAGCAAAACACATCATGAAATGAAGTCTTTCTAAAATAAAGTGATGGCTTGGGTGTTACATGGTCAAGTGAGAGGCACAATTACAAGTCCTTTGATGAGCTTAACTTTGGCACACTCCCCGCCAGACTCGTATGTCAGCCCACAGCAATGAGAGGGAATTATCGACTGTGCAAACCCTGCATACATTCCCCGCACTGGACTTGGACATGGACAAAAACATCGTTTAATTTATACCTTTGTTGACTTGTCAAGAGGAAGAGGAAAATACATTTTCTAACACCCCTCACATAGACCTAGCATTTTGGGGGGCACTTTTCCATTAGATAGTGTCGTTTATTGTAAAGGAAGATGGAAGTGACTTCTGCAGCTGCCAGAAGGGATGAGCATTTGAGAGAATGAAGGTTTCTGGAAACTCGGTGCCTGCCTCGTAGGAACAGCAAACATGACTTTCCCTACTCTCCTCATGCAGGGACCCGTGCAGTCCTGCACAGGCAACTCCTCAGGCTCCCGCTCAAGCCAGCTCTCCCACTTCATACTGTCCCTGAGCCTGGACAGCGCCACCACTTCCCTTAGGGACAGCCCTCACTCTCTTTTTCCACCTGAGTGATTCCTGCTCCTTAAGGCCTCGGTCAAGTGGGACTCCCAGAACACTAACTCCATAATCCCACGAATCCTTTACAGAAGCCAGACTCAGGTAGTTCAGTGGGGAGGTTTACTTGCACAGGCCCGGCATCTAACAGCACCTGGGGAAATCAGTGTGTCTGTGGCTGAATTCCATCTTCTACAACCAGGAGGAGAGCGGCAGTGGCTATGGCATAGTGTGCTTGTGATGACTAAATGTGTTGAATGGTGTTTATAGGCGTCTCAGAACACTGCCAGTCTCAGAAAAACCGATCTATGGTAATCCCCATTGTCGTTTTCACTTCAGTAGAACGGCAGGCTTCTGCAGAATAGCTAGAGTGAGTCACCCTTTCTCTTTTCTCTCTCTACAGGAGGAGGAGACCTGACGTCTTTTGTACCACGCATCAGTGCTGGAGGCTGTTTCCTTTGACAAATGACACAATGGAAGTGGGTGATGCTAGCAGATTAATGACTGTATTTTTAAAACTTGAGGAACAACCGATAAGCATCTGGCTAAAAATTCTATGAAATACGTTCACTGTAGAAATTTGTGATAAGAAGGATACACATAAGTAGAAAATTAAAATACTCTTAGCAAAATTAAAATACTCCTAGCAAAAGAAAGCTTTTAAATGTTTGTGATATGTGACTATATAATGTACATATAATAAAAGTGTCATGTAAAGCAAAATGCATTGTAAGTATGTAATTTTTTAAAATATGGTTAGAAATTATGATTTATGGAGATATAACATTTTATTTATGAATGAATCACTACCTTTGTAACTAGTTTTGTGGTTTTCGTTACTTTGAGTCCCCATTTTTGTGGAATCAAGAGCATGCAAATCACAAATCTTCTTTTACACATCTTCATTCTTTTCTTCTTAAAAGGAAAAACTTGGGTCAACCAACTGAAGAGCTAGGCGAAGGATGTAGCTAGAGCGCATGCCTGACGTGTGGGAGGTCCTGTGCTCAGTCCCCACAGTACCGTTTGAAAAGAAAAAGGAAGAAGAGAAAATGATGGCAGTTATGGTGGTGGTCTCATGGTCACCCCATGGCTGACTGGGAAGGCTGAAACAAGAAGATTGGGGGTAGAAGGGCAGCCTGGGCTACACAGCACTGCACTGTGAAACAAAAACCCAACCCGGGCAGGTTTGTGAGGATGGGATTTTTTTTTTTCAATTGTTATTTTCAGCTGCCTGGGGCAAAATACTAATTTAAGTTCTTTTTCTGGATTTTCAATTATAGAACCTAAGAATTCATTAAAATTTCCAGTTCTGTGTTACTTTCAAAGCAATTGATTAATATGCTCTGCCAATATGGAAAGGTCTACCTGATGCCTGTGTGGCAACTGACAGTTAATGGCCCAGAAAGTCTGTCTGTGACCACGGGGTCCGAGAAACCAAACTGATACCAAATACACAGGGTGCTCGGAGAGACACACCTGTTCTCACAGTGGAAGATCACGCTGCCCTGGCGAGGTGGAAATCAGTCTCATGACTATCAACTGTTGGTTTTTTGTTTTTGATATTTCCAAACAAAACACACGAGAATAAAAATATATGAATTCAGGTACTTTAGAGGGGGACTTTTTGTCTTTTGCCATCAGAAATTTGATGCCTCGTCCTTAAATTTTTGCTTCAGAAATATTTCAGATGCAGACTTTTCCCCACACTGTCCCCCTAGATGCTGCCTTTGAAGTTTTAAGGTTCCTCTTGGAAGAGTCCCAAACTTACACACTCAGCCCTTATCAGTAATGATATTGATGTTTATGCAAAACATACAAAACCTACATATTACAATAATGTGATTATTAATTTTCCTGAACTTCTGATGGCTCTTGGATCAGAGGACAATCAGCACATTTTTCACCAAGCATTTAAGGATCTTCACAAAATAGCACTGATGGGTTTTCTCTGGGTTGAGATCCTGGGCTTGGGTGATAAAAAATAAAGTCAGGAAATTCAGGAGACATGGGTAGGGAACTGCCTTAAGTTAGGGTTTCTGTCGCTGTGAAGAGACACTATGACCACGGCAACTGTTATCCAGAAAGTATTTAATTGGGTGGCTTACATTTTCAGAGATTTAGTCCATTATCATCATGGTGGGCAGCAACAGGAAGTGGTCTGAGACACTGGCTGTGGCTTGAGCATATATGAGACCTCAAAGCCTGCCTCCACAGTGACACACTTCTTCCAACAAGGTGGCAAGCAATCCAACAAAAAGCCACACCTCCTAATAGTGCCACTCCCTTTGGAGGCCATTTCTTTCAAACCACCATAGGAACCTTTACCTCAACCTCAATTCCAAGGCCTAGCTTATCCAGAAAGTATTTAATTGGGTGGCTTACATTTTCAGAGATTTAGTCCATTATCATCATGGTGGGCAGCAACAGGAAGTGGTCTGAGACACTGGCTGTGGCTTGAGCATATATGAGACCTCAAAGCCTGCCTCCACAGTGACACACTTCTTCCAACAAGGTGGCAAGCAATCCAACAAAAAGCCACACCTCCTAATAGTGCCACTCCCTTTGGAGGCCATTTCTTTCAAACCACCATAGGAACCTTTACCTCAACCTCAATTCCAAGGCCTAGCTTCTGCTTTTCATTGTTTGGGAGTCAAGTTTTAATACAACCACCTCAAACAAGAGGAACATGGCAACTCACAAACTGCTTAAGACAATGCATATGTGACTCTGAGTGTAGCTGTCAGAACTCCCCTCTCATCCCTAAACCTGAACAGTGCATCTCATAAACAACCCCATGAGTTCACTCACAAAAGGAAATTCTTGAAGAGAAACAAGTAACCTCCTCATAAACTTTTACTTAATTTTTGAGCTGCTTTATTAAACTTTGCATGCACTCGTGCATGTGTGTGTGTGTGAGTGTGTGCGTGTGTGTGAGTGTGTGTGTGTGTGTGTGTGTGTGTGTGTGTGTGTGTGTGTACATTTTGCTGCAGTGCTGGTCCTTGAACCTAGGATCTGTCACATGATAGATAGGTGCTTTTCACTGAGACACATTCCCACTGTTTTCAGTGTGATTTTTATTGAGTTTGGACCCTCTTTCTCTAGCCTCTCCAGTAGCAGGGTTTACAGTTTTGCACACCAGGTCTAGCCACGGTTACTGTTAAGACACAAGCACACCCCTTTTTCTGAGACACCCACCCTCAATTTCTTCTTAACACACATGAACTTTTTCTCATACTGTCTTGTCCTGAAATTCTCTTCTGTGGCAAGAGTTAAGATCCCTGCTTCACAAGGGTAGGTGTCTCCAGAAGGAACTCAGGCTGAAGCTCTGGCTGAACGGGGTCACATGTTCCACCTTGGTTGACGTTCTCACATCACGCCCTTGTCAGACTTCTCCAGAATGGACTGGGTTTTACGCCTTCCTCCTACTTGGGCATCATGTTTCCTCTTCTTCTGACATGTTTTCATTTTGTAGCCCATGGTGGCCTCAAACTCAGGGCAATCCCCGCTCCTGCCTCAGTTTCCTTAGTATTGGGATTATAAGCATGTTGCCACCACGCCCAGCTGTGAGCACTCTTCTCTCCAGACTTGTCCCGTGGATAAACTCTGGGAAGAACGTTTCTCAACACACCTGCAGCCACATCTACCAGCCCAGCCACTTTAGGGGATTGTAGACTGTGATTCTAGCTTTATAATTTTATAGTTAATTAAGGGGCGGGCATCTTATCTAGATCCAGGGGAAGCAGCGTGCCTCTCACATGCTCTGTGGAGTGTTTACTAGGCCGTGCTCCCTTCAAGAAGGCCTCACTCTGGAGTTTCGGGATCATTCTAGGAACTCCGTCTAATTCCACGGGTAGACGGCGAAGACGTCTGTGTTACTTCCGTCACATCTATAAATAATTTCGATGAGAATTCGGGCCTGAAAAGCTGGTTTTCTTCACCAGTTAGAAGCCACATGTATAGGAGACTCCTCCGGACAGGTTGGGTGCGTTTTCTACCAAAAACTACTTTTGAATTTGCAAGGAAAAGAGAAAGTTTCCTTCGCCTTCGTGAGTTTGGTTGACAATCAAGGGCTTTTCCCACTAGTTCTGGCCTGCAGGAACATTTGTCAACAAAAGGTAAAAAGTCAGGTGGATCCCGAGGCCTCCTGGGTCACCTGGTGTCACACCCTGAGCGATTCTGCAGCGGACACACATGGGAGTGTCTACTTTTGGGGGGGAAAGAAACACAAACACCCCTCCTCCGGGGGCGGGGGAGGCTCCTGGGGATGCACCAATCACAGCGCGCCCCGCTCTATATAAGGCCCCCCCTCCGCCCCGAGACCCCCCTGCGCTGTTGGTGCTTTTGCCTTTTCCCGCTGGTGTCGTTCTCGCCTAACTCTCGGCCATGTCGGAAACGGCTCCTGCTGCCTCCTGCAGCCTGGTCCCAGCTCCTGTCGAGAAGCCGCCGCCTAAAAGGCGAGGGAAGAAGCCAGGCCTCGCCGCGGCGCGCAAACCCCGGGGTTTCTCGGTTTCCAAGTTGATCCCCGAGGCCCTTTCGACGTCCCAGGAACGGGCGGGAATGTCGCTTGCGGCCCTGAAGAAGGCGCTGGCGGCCGCCGGCTACGACGTGGAGAAGAACAACAGCCGCATCAAGCTGGCCCTCAAGAGCCTGGTGAGCAAGGGGGTCCTGGTGCAGACCAAGGGCACCGGCGCCTCCGGCTCCTTCAAGCTCAGCAAGAAGGCGGCCCCCGAGAGCGTCAAGGGTAAGGTCAAGAAGTCGGCTTCGGCCAAGGCCAAGAAGCTGGGCCTGCCCAGGGCCTCGAGGTCCCCCAAGAGCACCAAGACCAAGGTCGTCAGGAAGCCGAAGGCGACGCCCACCAAAGCATCCGCCAAGACCAAAGGCGCCAAGGGGGTGCGGCCGCCGCGGAAAAGCCCCGCCAAGGCGAGGGCGGCCAACCCCAGCGCTGGCAAGCCCAAGATGGTCCTGCAGAAGACCGACCCGAAGAAGGCGGCAGCGAGGAAGTGAGCTGCAAAGCCAGCTTCCAAAAACCCAAAGGCTCTTTTAAGAGCCACTTCCATAACTTGTAAAATGGCGAGACACTTTTAAAGCGAACGAGCTGGGCAGTCGCCTCGGGTGGGTCTGTCTTCTAAAGCCCAGAGTTAAGACGTTTGGGGGCCCCTCGGTGCAGCCTGTTTACACGCTTGGTTTGGGTGTCAGTGCTTTCATATCAGCATGAGGGTCACCGTAGGCGCATTTCATTTCTAGAAACGCCACCGTATCAAGGAAGGGAGCAGAGATGAGCTCGGTGGTTGCTGCCGCTTGGACCGAATACTGTTCTTCAGTTTACCCTTTAGAACACCATTAACCGGTGCCCGGGCTTTCAGAACGCCACTACGAACCCAGATGTTCAGGACTGCAGCTGGAGGTCATATGGGTCCCTTCTTGAGTGGAGTATTTAGGATTTCCTGAGTGATAGATCGAAAAATACAGCGAGCAGTTTCAAGAATCTTGGAAGTTTTTGCAGTCTGTCCATAAAGATCCATTCCTGTTCCATTTTATAAAGTGGTTTAATACTATTGGCCTAACAGTTGCAGTTGAAATGTTATGTATATTTTATGAAAATAACATGTAGGCTTTGTAAGATTGACAAGCGCAGTGTTAAAAATTAAGAACCCCGTTCTTTTAGGGAAATGTTAGGGCTTGAATTCAATGCTCAACGTAGCAAAAATAGTACTGGGGAAGTCTGGGCTGGAGTACTTAACTCGTGATCCAGCAGTTTTATGGATTAAGTAGTGCTACAAATATTAAATTCATATTCATCTATTTTAGGCCTTGGTTTTAAGAGTTACAAAAGACTCTAGCAGGGCAGCTTGAGAGATTGTTTAGTCAAAAACACTTGCTGCTCTTGGAGACCAGAGTTTGGATATCAGAACACGCAACAGGTGGTTCAGGACGGCCTGCAACTGCAGCTTCCGGGAAATCCGACGCCCTCTTCTGGCATCTGCACAAATGTGGCGCGCACACACACTGGTTTAAAATGATATAAAGCTGTCGCACAACTATGCAGCTCGGGTATAAACAGGTCGTCCCCAATAAAGAGCGTGCACTTAGGCCTTATTAATTATAAACAATGAGTAATAGCTAAGCATTCAATATATTTAATTTGTGTAGAACCAGCCTTTGCCCTTACTTAGATAAGATGGCCCCTGTCCTGAGCTTGGAATTGAGGACGGTGCGAGAATATGTGTCACACAACTGGCAAGGCCAGGAGTTCTTAAATGACCGGTACTTTGAGGAGGACTGTGTCAACTCCATTACATAATGGCAGTGGAAATCTGGCCTGACGCAACCGATGGTAAGCTTTCAATGCATCCAGCATTGCAACACTTCGCACACACACACGCGATTTCAGACAATTCAGGTTACGATGGGCTTGTAATTCTCGTTCCTGCTAAATTCCCGCACTCAGTACTACACGGCGTTACAAACCTGCACAGCCCTCACCACAAGGGCTCCCTAGCTGCCTAAATCGAAACATTCTGGGTGTTTCAAAATACACAACCATCACCTCACTGATGTGCCCAGAAGAGGACCCCCGGAGAGACCGCCACGGACCAAGTCCCGATGCACACAGGTTTATTCGGTGCACAAGCTCGAGCTTGGGGTAAAGCGTTCTTAAGGTGAAAAACGCAAGCCGAGGCTTTCATGCCTTGGCGTCACAGGATTGGCCAAAAGCAAGCGACCTCTAATGTCATTGGTTTAGCGAGCCGGGGAAATTTCCAACCCGGGGCTTTTCCAACGGGTGTGTCAGGGTGCTCAGTGGCCAGGCTGCGGGGCTGAACACCGTCTGACCATGTTTTCGTGACCCTGTGTTTTTTTCCCGGAGCTGGGTTGCAGCCTGCAGGTTAAAATGGCCGCTTAAGACTTTAGAAGTTTTTGCCCTTCACGGACAGCCCTATGACAGGACGACTTACGCTCACCGTATCTAGAGCCGGCTGATCGACAGCGCAACAGCTCCTTGCAGAGGTTGTGGGTGGCCCTGAAAAGGGCCTTTTGCGACTATGGAGAAAAGCGCAGCCATGGCTTAACCACCGAAGCCGTAGAGCGTGCGGCCCTGGCGCTTGAGCGCGTAGACCACGTCCATGGCGGTGACGGTCTTGCGCTTGGCGTGCTCCGTGTAAGTGACGGCGTCGCGGATCACGTTCTCCAGGAACACCTTCAGCACCCCGCGGGTCTCCTCGTAGATGAGGCCGGAGATGCGCTTGACGCCGCCACGCCGGGCCAGGCGGCGGATGGCGGGCTTGGTGATGCCCTGGATGTTGTCGCGCAGGACCTTGCGGTGGCGCTTGGCGCCTCCTTTCCCGAGACCTTTACCACCTTTACCCCTACCAGACATGGCTGTAGCGAGTGACGAGCTGAGCCCCAGCTTCCCTTTAAATAGACCTCTGGCGGACCGGATTGAAAACCACAGGCGTTAGGCGGGGTTTTCGAATCAGGCCCTTGAAAGGGGGTGGGGCAAACAGGACGCGTCATTATAATCTGAAGGTTTTGATTGGCCAGCAAACCCAGCTATTTTTGAGCGCTGTGTCAGGAGGTAGAGCTTTCAATCTCGCGGAAAATCTTCAATTTTCTTTTTCATCATTTTTGTGCGAAATGAAAGGCTTGTTGGGGCCGTTACGAAAAGCAGGTGTCTCCATTTCACGTTTTTTTAAAAAAAATTTCCATCTTGCTATTAAATTAGTTGATGGTTCCTTTGCGCAGATGCACGTAAAATATACAAAACGGTGAATTAAATATGACAAAAACACCCATTGCCGGTAAAATTTAAGTCTATTCTTAAGAACTTTGTTTGTGAAGACAAAAACATTGAAAAAGCATCTCAAATTGAGCCTCCTAATTGTAGACTTCATATTCCCCATCTCGAGTCAGACACCTAGTAACTCCACCTCCCCCTTTTTATAAAGATTGTACAAAAGGATAAATTTAGGCTATCAGTTGTCCTTTACCTGCTGTGTTTTTCTGATGTCTTGGTTCCAAGTTTGTTTCCCTTCCAGCCCTTATTAATCACAGCATGGCTTGCTCAGCTTTTGAAAAGACAGGTTTTGTAGATCTAGGAATTACATTGCAGGGCTAATACTTGATTAAGGTCATTACAAAGCCTACAGGGTCCTGGCGAAGCCTGGGATAAGATTAGTGATGTCAAACAAGGTTAATCCCATTTTTTAAAAAGGCAGAAGAGCAGGCGGCATTAGGTCTTAATGTGGGTTTATTGTTGGTTTTGGACTTCCAAATTTTATTTTTAATTTAACAATGAGATAGGAGAGATGGCGCAGATGTTCAGAGCATTTGATATTCTCCTAGAGGTCCCAGGTTTGGTTCCCAGCACCCACGTGGTAGCTCACAACCTCCCATAACTCCAGTACCAGGAATCTGAGACCCTTTTCTGATTTCCATGGGTACCATGAGTGCAGGCAAAAAACTCCCAGAGAAAATAAAATAAAACCTAAAATTAAATTAAATATGATGGTTAGTAACTCTTTAAAAATAGAAAAAGCTCCCGGACGCGATGGCCTATGCCTTTAAATCCCAGCACTCAGGAGGCAGAGGTAGGTGGATCTCTGTGAGTTCGAGGCCAGCCTGGTCTACAGAGCGATGATCCAGGACAGGCTCCAAAGCTACACGGAGAAACCCTGTCTCGAAAAACAAAAAGACAAAAAACTAAAAACTAAAATAAAATAATAGATAAAGCCTTCTGACCAAATTAAAGATTTTTAATTCCCGTCTCTTGTTACCCACCCCCACCACAAACACCTTATACCAGGAGCCCCAGCTAAGTTTGAATGAAAACACATTCAGAAGAAAAAGGTTTGGAAATAATTCTGACAAATTCCTAGGGCTATGGTTAATTTTGAAATGTTACAGCATATTTACTGCATACTGCAGAAGACATCAGAGGTCTACTATCAGGTAGCACTGGCAGTTCCTTACAAAGTTTGGCAAGAAATGGAAACAGTGTTCCACCACAAGCTTTCTTGGCTTAGCAGTAAGTATTGTAGTGGTTATGAGCTGAATTAAAATTCCAGCACAGTCATTTTCTAGCTATTAACTAGAAATTTCAAACAGTAAGCTGAGTAATCTCTAGGCACTGATTTTCATAACATTGAAATAAAAGCTAATGATGCAAAAAACAAATAAATAAATAAATAAGCCCTTCCTTGTAGAACTCTCTGGAGGAATTAACAGTGGGAACAGCCTAGCATCTAGTAAGTGCTTAAGTAAAGTTACCTAAAACGTTAATTTTACAAAGAGTTGGGGGAGCAGGAGAGTACTTGCTTGGCATGGTGAGGCTTTGGGTTTGATTCTCAGTACGGAAAATTAATTTGTTTTAGAAAACATTCATTCCACAAAAGATGTTACTGGGACGGCAAATTCTTAATCAGGGAAATGGGGAGGGGAGCAGAGAAGCTTTTCCTCAAAACACTATCTTTCTCTTCCTCTACCTTGGACAGTTAATAAAGAACAGTAGGCCTGAGCCATCAGAATGTACGCTGGGCAGGGCACGGCCAGGTGATGTCCAGTAATAGCTAAATAAATGCACATGTCAAAGTACCCATGCTCTCTAAAAATTGGCTCCCCGAGTCCTGAAACACTGCATTAATGTTCTCTATGTGAAAAAGGAGGGATTAGTCACTAAGGCACAAACAAGCTATGCTCCAAAACGTTCAGGACGATTTGAAGTTTCAGGAGTCAGTCGGCCCACACACCCTTCATGTTTAAAGGTGTTCAGAGTGGCCTAATAGTCATTATTAAATAATTTTTTAAGATATTGGTTTAAAAGTAACGTTATGACAAAATTTGGCACTGTACCTGCAACATTTTGCTTTGATATGTGTCTGGGGCTGTAGCATGAGGCGTGCCCAGAGACAGTAAAGAGCTACTTCTCTTTTCTCCTTGCAACACTTTAGAGGAAGTGCTGCCAGGGTGGACCTCCCTGCAGGTAGGAGTCACTATGGAAGGAGCCTAGGAGACCACTGGGCTGCTTGTTTGCAGTCTGCTCTGTTGGCAGTTCAGAATACCAGCCTTTCCAGTATCTAGCACATAATTCTGTTTTCTGTAATCTTCATGTACTTTCTCTTTAAGAAATATCTTCTAAACACACACACACACACACACACACACACACACACACACTCCCTGTTATTTGTTCATTTAAGAAAGTTCCATGTAGCCCAGGCTGACCTCCAACTCACAATGTTGCTGAGAATAAGTTGAACTCTGATGCTCCTGGATCCTCCTCCCATGTTCTGGGATTACAGGTGTGCCTAACACACCTGGGTTTTTCTGGACTAGACTTGCTGCCTCCACCAGACGCTATCCAACCCTTTACCTTAGGGATATGTCCTTGTCCCCAGCCTCTTTGCAACCAACTCTGCTGTATTAGAACTAGCCGCCAGGTGTCACCAGTCTCCAACCTACCACATTATATTAATGCTTAGTCAGAGGTGAGGGAAGGCGGGAAATTTGAAATGTAAATCTTAATTCTTCAAATGCAGCCCCTAAAATTGTATGAAAAAGTCAGAAATGACACCAAGAAACACACCCAAATGCAAATGTATCATTCATACGGTGTAATTATTATACCATGTTTTAGTTAACTGTAGCATTTCTCAATGAGGTGGGGGAAGCCCTGTGTCATTCTGCTATGTACAGAGTGATATTTAGAGGGAATAAAACACAGTGTGCTTTCAGCTCAGCTTGTAGCTAAATAAACACTTGCTTACAACTCAGACGATAATGTCCTTACGGCAGAGGAAATCTGTTGATCTAGCTATCACAGTGCAGTGAAAACATTCTATAAAACACAAAGAGAAAAGTACAAATCTGTGATCACAATTACAGGAGGTGTAGTTTAAGGCAAGCCTGAGTCCCTGGGGAGTTTGATGCTATCCTCGACTATGTGGTGTCCAACTTAAAAAAAAAATTAAACCTAACCAAAGTGAAAATTAGAAGTGATATAAATGTCCTTAAAATGATGAGTTAACTACATTCATAAGGTGAACAAGAATATTAATAAAGCTGTGTAGTATAAAATATAATGGCATATTTACCAAATCATGTGTTTATTAGTTGCACGCATTTTGATGGGAGTGATAGCAAGGCAATATACCAGCTGCTCGTAGAGTTTGATACTCACTGAGGAAACAATCGCTCCACGTTTATCTATTTTCAATGATTAACTCAAATTTTACTGTTATTTTCTACCTAACTTTCACAAACAGAAAATAAGGGCCAAAACAGAAAGAAAAAAAGAGTTGCGGTCCCAGCTCAAATGTTGGTCTGAGGCCTTTGGTCTTTAAGATGGAATTTATAGCACAGCCATATGGCAGACAAATATGTCCATTGGGGAAAATGAAAACATGCCACCTAGATGGAGACATGTGCCCACACACGTGTACATACATAAGTACACGTATATGAACACACAAATGAAGACAGATACGTGTACTTACACAAACAAGATACAAACTCAGGCTTGGTCTTTTCTGCAATCTAGCACTAAGTTGTCTAGTTAGATGACATTCTTTGTTTTAATGTGCACAACTAGGAATGAGCAGTGGACCCCGTCAACTCCCAGCATTCTCCAGGCCACCTGCCAGCTTCTGTTTTAATTCCTTAGGATGAAACAGACTGACAGATTATTCTTGGCTGCCAGGACAGTTACCTGAAGGTACTGAGTCCAGAGGCATAAGCTTCAAGGACACCAGACAGATCAGCTAAACTTGTTAAGTGAACTAAAAGACAGATGCCAGAGGAAACAGGAGACTGAAAGGAGTCCTGGTAGCTGAGGGTTGGAAAATGTCGGCAGCCATTTCTCATCATGTGGGTCAAACTCACTGAGAAGAAAGCGCAGGAGACAAGTTAAGAGTCATATTCTCCTTTCCCCACTCACTTCCTGCAACTAATCCAGTGCAGTGGTACCCGGGGTGCATCAAAGAGCAAGAATGACACTCTCCCAGCTGTCTGTCTGTCTGTCTGTCTGGAGAGCTGTGAGATACTGTATTCTTCACTTTCTGCAACTAAAGAGAAAGGATGTTGGTGCAGCTAATCATTTTCACTTCATAGAAACATTAGGACTCCCAAGCCGTGGTTTATGTTTAGCAGGTGATCAGAGCCGAGTATGATAGTGAGCACTTCTTCACAAGTGCAAGCCATACTTTATTAAAAGAACCATTCATAATTTCTGAGATCAGGACAAGAAGAGAGGGTAATTCACTGGCAGAATGTCACAAATGCACATGATACTAATCTTTGAAAATCCCTTCACCACCTTTGTAAATATGAACACAGCCATCATTATGCACACAGACATCTCTGTTTTCTCAGAGGGTGCCTCCTCAGGATGTACAGTGTGTAGCCTTCAGCTGTGTCGATGACCCATGGAACCCTCCAATGTCAGAGAAGTCAGAGCTTGGTGACGGAGTATTCACTAGATAACAGATGAAGAGGCTCAGAGGAATGGTTCCTGGATTCTAGGACACATGTGCAAAATTCTGGCACAAGTATGTGTGTGCATTCCGGGATGAAGATTCATAGCTTCTTCAGATGTGAAATGAATCCTGTATTCCCCAAATTCAGAGAGTCTTTTTAAGAAGTAGACATATGGAGTCTAGATGCATGGAGGAAATGAAGGATGCCTCTAGAAGCAGCTGGAGATTCATGACACCAGTTCTGGAGGGAGAGGTTGCATCTGGAGCAGTCTGAGATGTTCTGGAACTCAACGGCTTGACTGGAGGAAACATTTTAACAAAGCAAACAGGGAAAGCTAAGGGCAGAGTCCCTCGGGCAGTTTCTGTGTATTAGGTCCAGCTCTGTCCTAGAATGGAGCAAGAGTGCTTCCTCAAGTCTGGCTGAGTCTCCTCCCCTCCATGGGTCTGCAGGCTGAGGGTCATCCACGCTCAGCTAAGATGTAGTCACCCATGGTTTCTTCTGGGAAGACAAGAGACCCAGGGAGAGGCATCACTGGCCAGGCATCATCTTATCCTGGCCCCTTCTACCTCCTCCACCCCCGGTCATGCTTGTCCAGGGACTCCACTGCGTGTCAGAAACACTTCTCTCGCCATATGGGACTGTTCAGTAGCTGTCTAACTGCTTCCCTTGCCGCCTCACTCACCCCCCCCCCCCACAGCCCTTTCACAAACACAGACATTGTTCTACTTTGCCTTGGTGACTTCGCCAGCTCCCCAGTCATCGTGACGTAACATTCCACAGAACTACGTAGGCTGGCTTCTGTCTCCGTCTCCTTTTCCAATGTTATAGATACTCAGAGCCGGGGGTGGGGGTGGGGACAATTTGTGAGTGAGGTACACACAGTCAGGGACAAGGTCCAATAATTCACTCTCTTACTCAGCATAGTTCTTCTACCTGCGGGGTGTGTGTGGGGGTATGTGTGTGCATTCTAAGAGAGTCTCACAATGCAAGCAACTCTTCAACTCCTGGCAATCCTTTTGCTGAGCTTAGGGTCACAAACTACCACACCTGCTTTCCATAGTCTTTCTGGATGTAACTTGAACATTTCTTCCAGTGACATCCCAAGTCATTTCATTCTCAGGGGTCTTCTTTAGCTGAACTTACTTGTCATAAATTCCATTCCACACTAGATTTAGGTTCTGAGACTCGCCCAGTGGCTTTCTCAACCTCAACTCCCTGACTCTACCTTAAGTAACACCTGCAAAATAGTGGATACCTAGAAGGTATTTCCTGAATGAGGAACTTCCAATCTGGGAAAAACAACACCCCCCCCCCCCCCCCCCCCCCCCCCCCCCCCGCAAAAAAAAAATCCCCAGAGACATCCTGGTACTCTCAAAGCAAAGAACTTGGATAGGGCTTCCTAGAGAAGTGTCCTTTTCTGCAGGAGTACGTGTCCTGGAGGAAGAAGTACCATGACACTTCCTCCATGCGCCTACTCACCTGAAGCCTTCCTGTTCCTTAAGATCAGGAACAAAATCCCCACAGAGAAGAAGACACAAACAGCGATCCCGCTGCTGGCTCCAGCAATCACGGCCCGCGACGGTGGCAGCGGTTCTATAACGGCAAACACAATTCAAGCCCGTGACTGCCACATCCCAGCCCGGAGCAGACCTTTCTCTCACAGCCAAGGTGATCACCTGTACAATCGTGATCTCTGCCGACATCCCCATCCTTACCCCAGGTGACTGTGAGGGGCTGATCCAAGCCTGGGTGTTCCACTTGGCAGGTGAACCTTGTCTCATCGCCAGGGGCCACTGCCAAGGTCACCTGGCTCTGATAGGTCCCGTCTCCATTAGGCAGCACATCCTTAGGGTTGATCTCCTTGGCATCCAGTGCCTGGTTGTCCTTCAGCCACCTCATAGTGAGGTTCTGGGGGAAGAAGTTCAGAGCCTGGCACCTTAGAGAGCTCCCTGCAGAGGCCCAATGATGAGTCACCTTCACCAAAGGAGGCACTTGAGGGAAAGAGGAAGGAAGGAGAGGGGCCTGTTTTACCCTGGGCAAGAGGACTGAAATTTTCACTTTCCTTTGTGGGTAGGAAGAGCACACCACTCTCAGAAAAACGAGCCGCTGTGATGCCACTTGGTATCCTGAAAATGACTTCAAAATGTGGTGCTAATGAAGTGCCACACGGAGGACATTCACTTCAGTCTGCTGCCCTGTTCACCATCTGCTGCCCAGGGCCTCTGAGCAGGCAGGCCACATTTCCCTTTCTGTGACGTCCATTTGACTTGAACTCCCAGTTCATCTGGTTCAGCCTACTAAGCATTCTTGTAGGAGAAGGCCTTAGTAAGCTGGGAGCCATTAGTGAGACTGCTGTAGTTTTGGGAAATAATCTTTATCTCCTCAGGGATTCTGCTGCTCAGATGGGTTGCCTTGTTTGGTATTTTCATCTGATAACTGACATTCCTGTATTCTTAAAAGACATAATAAACAGGCACAGGATTCGTGGCTACATCAGAGGAAGAGTATGACGCTTCCTTTTAAGCCACATGCATGATGAAAATTTTGTAGTTCATAGCTGTGTTACGCACCTCAATATAAAGGGAGGCCTCCATCCCAAATGGTGGCTCTCTCTGTGAAATCAAGGATTTGGGAAGCTGTGGCAGGAAAATTGCTGTGTCTGTGGCTAGTCTGGCCTACACAGTGAGCTCTAGGCCAGCCTAGGCTACAGTGTGAGAGACCATCTAAAGAACCACCACAACAACAGACAGACAAACAGACAAATGACAACAAAAAGCCATAAGGGCATTAGCCAGGTGTGGTTTATGATTGTAATCTTAGGACATGGAAAGCTGAGGCAGGGGGATTTCTTGGAGTTTTAGCCCAGCCTAGGTTACATATTGAGTTAGTCAGTACATGGAGAGCTGATGCAGGGGGATATCTCGGAGGTTGAGCCCAGCCTAGGTTACATATTGAGTTAGTCAGTCTGGGCTACAAAGCGAGATCTTGTCTAAAGGAAAAAAAAAAAAAGGAATTAATAAAAATGGAAATCTTAGGATTGAGAAAGTACTTTCTCAAAACTTGGGAGTGACTGAAACCTTGACCTGGTGCCTTGGATTCCCCTCCACTCCCACTCAAGAGTGTGGGACCTGAGAGGGTTCCTCATACCTTGCTGCCTCAGAAGCCCTCTCCCCAGCTCCAGGAATTGTTTCAGCTGCTCAGGACAGTCCCTCTCCAGGTAGGCCTTGTTCTGTCTGGCCCGGACCTTGTGTTCTTCCCACTCCACCTTGGTGACCCAAGCCCCCGGCTCTGCTGCTCTCCAGTCCAGTGTCTTGGGGCAGAATTCAAGGTAGTCTTGCCCATCATACCCATACTTCCAGAAGCTGCTGGTACTGTTGTCTCCATGCACCTCACAGCCCAGGATCACCTGCAGGATGTGGGACTCGGGCACCACTCCCAGTTTAGTGACTGAAAACAAAGAAGTAGGTTTAGTCTCCACCATCCCCAAGTATTGAACAATCTGGGCAGACATCTATCTCCCTCTGCTGTGTGCCACCCCCTCCCCAGGATCTCACACCCACAGTTGTCTACTTCAAGATGTATCCCCAAGGTAGCAAAATAGTGCTGTGCTCTGACCGCTATGGGGGTGGGGGACTCCCCTCTCCACATACCCTTACTGTGGTTATAGTTGTCCATGATATTCCAGAAGTCCACAATGAACATGTGATCCCACCCTTTCAGGCTCTGACTCAGCTGCAGCCACAGCTGGCTTGAGGTCTGACCCAAGATCCATGGGGCCCGGGGCTCAGCACGGCGACTCTCATGATTGTAGGACACGAAGAGTTGGTCATCCACGTAGCCCATAGCCTCAAACAAAGGCAGCCCAAGGTCTGGCTGTGAGGTACCCATGAAGAGGTAGTACAGAGAATGAGACCCTGGGGGAGTCAGCAGGCATTCAGAATGGGCAGCAAGCAGGATCAGGAGGCAGATTCCACAGCCCTGGGTCAGCCCCTGCTATCAGATGAATGAGTGCCCCCTGCGGAGTGACAGTTCTCTTCCCAGGACAACCCTATCTGCTCTGGCCTTGTGCTCTTACTCTGCCCATCTTCTTGATGCTCCCCACTTGAGGAGATGGGTTACCTCGGAACCCAGACTCCAGAAAGTCTTTGGGTTTCTGCTGTGGAGGCCAAGCTAAGGAGTTGCTGCTCAGTTTGTTAAGTTGAAAGCCCTAAGGGGTTGGAGGTGGTGGATTTTCTTTACTTCCGTCTCTGAACATTTTCCTGTGTAGCTGTTGGCTGAGACATGCTGCTGAGTGTGCTGACAGAGAACTCAGGGTAACCAGTCATCAAACAGAAGGGGTTCCAGGAAAGGGGACTGACAGGAACTCCCACCACTGGGCTTTCCCAAGTTTCTCTCAGTTCCAGAAGAGGGTTGCCCAGGAGTGTAACCTTAGTGCTTAGAATGGCACCTGGCATGGGGTCAGCACTTCACAAATGCTTGTTGGCCTGGAGTTGGTGACTCACTCACACTTCTAATCCTAATACTCTGGAGACTGAGGCAGGAGGTCTGTCTCAGTTTTGAGGCCATCCTGGTGTGCACAGGTGAGTTCCAGGCCATCCTGAACTACATAGGCAGACAAACCCCCGCCCCTGGGGGTGGGGGTTCTGGAAATAAAGCAAGATCAGATTTAAGATTATGTTTTTATTTTTTTAACCCAAGGAAAGACCTAAGCTGAGAGCCAGTTAATTGCTGCTTCCCAGTGCATAAGTAGTCCAAAAGGATCACAGATCCAGATGTTATTTAAGTGTATTAAGCAGCACTTTGGCATTCTTTAGGAAAAAACCTGTTAATCCGTTGTTAATTTGCAAATCAACAAAGCCCAGCTGAACAAGGGCCTCTAGAACAGTGGTTCTCAATCTGTGGGTCGAGACCCCTGGGGACTAAGGATCCTTCCGCAGGGGTCTGATATCAGATGTTCTCCACATCTGATATTACATTCTGACTCACAGCAGTAGCAAAATTACAATTATGAAGCAACAATGAAAATAATTTTATGGTTGGGTCGCCACAACCTAAGGAACTGTATTAAAGGGTCGAAGCATCAGGGAGGTGTCCAGAAGGTTACTCTGCCAAAGGGCATTTACCTCTCACCCACAGTGAGGGAAAAGGTGGGGAAGCCTGGCACTCAGCCTGCCTCCTGCATCATCAGACTCCTGCTGGACTCTTTTCTTAACCTTCCTTACCTGCTTCCAAGGCTTAAAGCCCAAACATAACATTGTCTCAAACCTGACATTTCCTTGGATTACAGGAATATCAAAGCCTCAGGACAGGAATCCCCACTCCACTCCACCCCACCCCACCTGCACGAGGGTAATTATCTGAGGTCAAGGCAGCACACTGAGGCAGAAGACATCGTTAGGTAGCACCTAACAAGAAACGATTTGTGGACTCCATTGCAGGATGAACAGTTTATGGACTCCATTGCAGGATCCAGGACTGTCTATCTACAGGGATATTTTGCTTTCTGTTTAAACCTAAATGTCATGTAAGGACCCTGAAGATGGACTCATGCTCTGGGCCACCTGATCTCCCCAATATGGCCACACTGAATAGATCTGTTTCGCCATTACTGGACTTCTTAATTGGCACATTGTTGCCAACAAGGGCTGCCAGAGTCCTGGCTTCTTCCCTAAAATCTTTGTTTACACTATTACACCCATTTGTAATAAAAACAACGTTTCTAGATGAAAGCACAATTTCCAAGAGAGAGGAAATGTCCATGCCTCCCGCTCCAAGCGACCTTCACCTCTTCTCACCAAAAAGTAATACAGTGGGGTGCGACCCAGCACCTCCGGCGCTCACAGGGCAAACAGTCTCTCCCTGCACCCCGAAGAGAAAACGCCAAAGAGCGACTTCCATTGTACTTGGTGAGAAATTTCAGATCCTGGGTGAGTAGGGGAGGTAGGACAGCACAGCTCACAATAAACACAACATAAAGGAGATCTGAGACTGAGACCCCAGCTCAGCTACATCAACGTGGCTCCTCACACCTTTGCTTAGACTGGAGACACCCAGCCAGAGCAGGGGAGGAATGTGCCCTGGGCAGCTAGCTGTGTGGCAGATGTCCCCTGGGGGGCTGCATGCAAATCGCTGGAAGGGGGACCGCGGAGGGAGGCATTGGCACTCTGAAGTGACAAGCTCCAGGCCACCAGGAAAGCCACTTTCGGTTTTGTGTCCCACACCCCCACATTCCCCTCCCGCACTCACGCAGCGGCCGCGCCTGCGGGGCCATGGACCACAGCAGCAGCAGCAGCACAGGGAGCCCAGCTGACAGGTCCATGTCCCCAGCCTGGTATGCCTGTCTTCACTAGGATCGGGAAACGTGGAGGATCCCAGAAGTCACCCTGGAGCCATTGCTGAGGCTCGGAACCTCTCAGACAAAACTTCCTGGTAAGCGAAATCCCTTTCCGGGCCGTTGGTGGAAAGAAACAAGTCCTAAATCTCAGTGGTTCAAGTCTGTGACCCAGCACTCACGAGGCTGAGGCAGAGGGATTGCCGTGAGTTCAAGTCCAACCTGGACTACATAGTGAATTATAGTCCAGCTTGGGCTACAGAGTGACTGCTTAAAAAAAAAAAAAAAAAAAGCTGAAATTAAAAAGCAAAAGACAGTATCCAGAACTTGAACTCTATCCTGAAGCTAAGGGTGCTTGCTTGTGAAACACTCAATGGCCCAGCAGCCCCATCCTCACTCCCCAATCCCCACCCCATAAATCACTATGAATGTTGTTGAGAAAACTTATTTCGCAAATGTGAGATCTGTATATTCAACATTTCCACACTCAATATCTAAATTCTGGCTTAGGCATTTCAATCATGTTAATAATTTTAATGCATATTTATTCAAAACCTTAAAGGATCTAACAAATTTAGCAAGTGGTACCTTTTTAGGGATGCCAATTTCAGCAATTAGAGAAGAAAATCAAATTAGGAAATGAAGAGCTCGTAACTGAATGTGGATAGTTAAAAAAAGGTTGAGAAAATGGGTACCTAGGTTCTCCTCCTCCTCCTTCCCCTTCTCCTCCTTCTCCTCCCCCTCCCCCTCCTCCTTCATCAGAAAATAAAAAAATCACATTCATTGTAATGTGATTCATGTGTCTAATATGTAGAAGTCAGTGGGTTTTGGTATATTTGATGAAGTTAGCAGCCATTACCAATCAATTTTAGAATATTTACATTTTCTAAGTCAATTTTAGCTATCACCTCTCAAATTCCTACATACTCCTGACCCTCCCCCAGCTGAACATCTCTTTCCTTCGATTCTGACACGCCCTCCAAATAGAATCTACACTTCCATAGCTGCTGTTCGTGTGTGTGTGTGTGTGTGTGTGTGTGTGTGTGTGTGTGTGAGAGAGAGAGAGAGAGAGAGAGAGAGAGAGAGAGACAGAAAGACAGAGAGAAGAGAGAGACTTCCATGGTTTAGCCTAATGTTATTATACATGCTTGTCCTGATTGATCTTATTCTCTAGTAAGGATTCATCACTCCACATTTTATCCACTCCTCAGCTTGTGCACTGGTGAGGTGCTTCCATTTTCCGCTTTGGGAATGACATTGTCATGAACGTCAGAATATATTTTAAAGTTCCCTTAAGATCTCATTGCTCTTACATATATACCCATGAGTAGAGGTTGCGTAGTAACTATTACAAACCTTTTAACAAACTGCTGGGCTGGTTTCCAGCAGCTGTAGACCTCATTTCCCCTTCCCATCGGCAGAGTCCAAGAGCTCTGATTACACTACAGCCCTTACTGTCCATCTTTATAATCTAACCCACTGCGTAGGAAACGATATCTCAGGACCTGCGTTTTCCTTTCCTTGATAACCAGTGATATAGAACATCATTTTACCTGTTTCTTGCCAATTTGGAAATCTTTGGGGGAATGTCTTTTCAGATCCTTACTCATTTTGGGGGGGTCGGGGGTCGGTCTGGTTTATTTGTTGTTTGTAACATCAAAGGGTGTTTCTCAATATTATTTGTAACAAATAATATTGTCACAAAAAAAAAGCTCGGGGAGAATCTTAGCCCTCAGAATGTGTTATTGTGTCCTGTAAAATTACTTTCTAGCTTGTCTGAATTTTTATTAAGGCAAGGATTTGCATCCCTTGTGATGCTGTGATGGACATCTATCTAGCTGCTGTAAATGTTTGTGCATTTTGTTCTTAAGTTCCTACAGCACCTTAGTACCTCAAGGAAACAAACAAGTTCTGGCAAGGTTACGTCGACAACAGATATATATCCCGTGGGAAAAATACCTGTTATCAGTTACCTGTTAAAATCCTCTGAGAAATAACCACCGGAGCTCCTGTGAATACTCCCAGCATGTCTCCACTCATGGAATTATTTACATTAACTTCCTTCATGGATACACATATACCTAACCTCCCACTCTCTACTCATATGTATGTACTAAATGCTCTAACTGCCCAGCCCACAAATATACAGCCACAAATATACACCAGCAGGAGGAAAGGAGGGAAATGAGACAAAGTTACAAAAAGCTACCTGTTGCATAATCTGAAATGTCAAAACCCATAGTGTAAAATAGAGATGAATAAAAGTTTTTTAAATTCATATGTGTTTGTGTGTTTATTTATTGTATGTGAGTTATATATGTGGGCATTTGGGCACACTTGTGGAAATCAAAGGACAACTTGTTGACTTCAGTTCTCTTCTTCCATTATGTGTGTCCCAGAGATCAAACTCTGTAGGCAGAATTTTCTGTCTCACAAGCCGCTCCCAAGTAACCACACAGAGGCTGAATATTAATTATAAGTGCTCAGCCAATAGCTCAGGCTTGTTATTAGCTACCTCTTACATTTAAATTAACCCATATTTCTCATCTATGCTTTGCCACATGGCTCATGGCTTGTTACCTCACTTTGTCCACATCCTGCTTCCTCTGCATCTGGCTCCCGACTCCACCCTGTGGTGGTATTGTGTTCCCCCAAATATTGTGCACCCTAATAAACTTATCTGGGGTCAGAGACAGAACAGCCACTAGATACAAAGGCTAGAAAATGGTGGCACTCATACCTTTAATCCTAGCATTTCAGAGGTAGAAATCCCTCTGGATCTCTGTGAGTTCAAGGCCACATTGGAAACAGTCAGGCATGATGACACATGCCTTTAATCCCAGGGAGTGGTGGTAGAAAGCAGAAAGGTATATAAGGCGTGAAGACCAGAAACAAGAAGCATTTGGCTGGTTAAGCATTTGGCTGGTTAAGCTTTTAGGTTTTTGAGCAGCACAGTTCAGCTGAGAGCCGTTCGGATATGAGGACACAGAGGCTTCCAGTCTGAGGAAACAAGATCAGTTGAGAAGTTGGCCAGGTGAGGTTAGCTGTGGCTTGTTCTGTCTCTCTGATCTTCCAGCATTCACCCCAATACCTGGCCTCAGGTGTGATTTTATTAATAAGACCATCTAAGATTCCTGCTACACCACCCTTCTTCATCCCAGCATTCTCAGTTTGGCTCCTATCAAACCTTATCCTGTTCAGTTTTTGGACAGTCAGCTTCTTTATTAAATCAATCACAGTGACATGTATTCACATAGTGTAAAGGGATATTCCACATTTCCCCCTTTTTGTCTAATTAAAAGAGAAGGTTTTAATATTAACATAGTAAAATTATATACAAGAAATATATAGACAAAATAAAAAACTCCTATCAAGTAAGAATTACAGTAACAATCTCTAGTCCATTTGTATTTGGCAAAATTAGAGAAAACATTCTATTATCTATTTTATCTTTGTGACTCTAAAGTTTTATACCTAATTTATCTTTTATTATAACAAAGGAAAACTTTAACCCTGACAATCTAGTCTTCAACTCCATCAAAGAACCCAGAAGCATGAAATGTTACCTAATGACAAGGACAGCTTGCTGCCTGGACAGTCACCCAAAGTTCTTCTGTAACATTGGGGCATCCATTTTTGGCCTATAGGCCTAGTATATCTGATAGACTTTTCTGAGAAGCAGAGAGTCTTGAAGGACTGTCCTACCTCATGTTGGCAAATGTTGGCAGTTGCTTTCTTTTGTGTCCTACTTGTCCAGTTTGGACAGTATACTGTCAGCAACTGAGGCAAGTGCTGTGGAATAATCCTCTTGTACACTGTAAAGATCTGTCACTGAAACTGGTTTAGTAAAATGCTGATTGGCTGGCAGCCAGGCGAGAAGTATCGATGAGGTGACCAAACTGAGGATGCTGGGAAGAGGAAGGGTGGAGTCAGGAGAGTCGCCAGGAGACACAGAGAGAAGCAAGGTGGGCATGTTGTGCTGAGAAAAGGTACTTAGCTTCATGGCAAAGCACAGATAGGAAATATGGGTTAATTTAAATGTAAGTGTTAGCTAGCAACAAGCCTGAGTGATTGACTGAGCATTTACAATTAATATTAAGCCTCAATGTATTTATTTCAGAGTGGCTACAGGATGGGAAAGCTACACCTACAAAATGCTATCCAAGGTCCAGTGCCACTTATGTCCACATAAAGCCTGAGAAAGCTTTAAAAAAGATTTTAATGCACAGAAATAGAGACAAACACAGCTTCCTAGTCTCGTGTCTCTCATGCTGCTGCAGTACACAGATGCACTCCTAGCAGCTGCCAGGAGCTAAGCTGCATGGCAGGTTCCTGCAGTCTCTCACACAGGCATCGGTACAGAGAGGCATCTCTCAGCCACTGCCTGTGGGCTTAAGCTGCCAGAGCAAGCACTGCCAGCATGCTGCATGGTGGGTTTGGGGTTTTTGCACATATAGACAGAAAAAGTTACAGATAAGCAGTAAATAAAGATTCAGATTGGGGAGGGGGGAGAGTCTAAATGAGTTACAGTGTATTTAAAAATATACGTAGGCTTGGGAGAAAAAAGAAACATGGTAGAGAAAGTCCTTAAAAAAGGAATAGAGTAATAAAAAATATTATTGTATTACGTGTAAAAATGGGAAATACACAGAGAGTCTAGACCCTGTATGTTATTGTGCTGTCTTCAAATTTTTTGACTGCAAAGAGACACTTGTTTATGAAAACTGCTAGATTCACCCAATCTATATATTTTTAAAATATCTTGACTTAAAAATTTAAGTCAAAAGTGTGCTGTTTTGGGGGAGAGGTTGTGCATTTGTTTCCACAGGAAATGAGAGTGTATGGATTCATTCTGGGTTAAGGAAAATCAGGTTTGAATGAGGAAGGCCCTGAAAAATGTGACTACAAACATAAAGAAATAAACCTAGTAAAACTCCAAGACACAAGATACATATTTTATCTGCTCAAACATAAAACAAAAAATCATCTTTGGCTGACTTATGTACAATACACAGTCTATACTTGTATTAATGCAGATATGTATGCTACCTTTAAAAGTTTATGTGTTTTCAGGGCAAGGAGACCAGACACCAATAAAAACAGGTGG